TATGAAATTTTGAGTTATAAGTAACTTTTGCCAAAACGAACATTTGTTTTGAATCTTCCTGATCATGCTATATTACATCTGATCTTGAAATTTGATTGGTCAATCATCTAAAATGCGATATATAAGCATATCGTATGATATCTAATTAAGCCCTTATTTTAATTACTAATTTATTACTTGTAATATATTTTAATTATACTATTATTCGTAGATTTGAGTAATTCAACATCTTTCACAACTCTCACGAGATCTAATTTTAGCAAAAAAACAATATTTAGATTCTGTTATCATGCCAACAACCACCTTTAAAATCTATTACAAATTAAGCAATACCATATTTTATATATACCCTTTATAATTTTATGAATCATCCGAATCTGATCAAAAAAGAAGAAAATATATTATAATTTCCTAATTGAATTTGTAATAATTAAATTTTGTTATGTAATTTCTGAGCATAACAGTTTTAATAAAATGAACTTTACAGTAATTAAAAATTTTAAAAAATAAAATTATTATATATCACATGATTTTGATAATAAACTGCGGCAATAATATGGAATTTTTTCTGGCAGTGTATACATAGTATCTACCAGATAAAATATATATATTATGTAATTGTGAAATATAAATGCTGCTTATTATCTCCAGAATTTGTGAATCCAGGATTAGGGTTTATGTAATAATACACTGTAATTGATCAAGATTATGTATCTATGTATTGGTATAATTTGATATAAAATCCTGTGAAGCAGGCTACAATAAAAATCAGTTTTACATGAAAGTTAGATTTTAATATATGTTGGCAGGGTGTAACCATTGAAGTGAGAAGAGAATCTGTTGTTAAAGGCATTAATGTAAAAAAAAAATATATAAAATATAAACTTATTACTTTAAGTTTTGCATATAGGTTTTGCTAGTCTTGTAATCACATGGTTTGATCATAATTCTCAAAGAGTTCAGGAGTTAATTTCAATTAATTAAGTAATCGAGTAAAAGTTTTAATTGTGATGCATAAGAAATGTATAATTAATAAAAGTCAGAGAAAGAGTTAAAATGTTATATAATTAAAATCAATAATGTAATTATGTAATTAGCTTAGAGTTAAATGTAAAATATATAGAATGCAAGAGAAAAAAAATCCCACTTCTTGTTCTAAAAAACACAGTAAAATCAACAAACATGACCCTATATCTTTGTATTAAGGTATTGGTATTTTGACATTAACTTGGCGTCGCCTAATTAATAAGCTGTGAAACAAAGTAGTAATATACCAGAGTATCTTTATGCAATAATGAGTTTGCTCCCTTCACAATCCAAAAGATTTATATCAAAGTGTGATAATGACCATAATAATGATCGTGTTAATGACAATGATAATGACTGTGAAAATTACTACAACTATGAAAATGGCCACGAAAATAATCACGAAAATAACCATGAAAGTGACCTTGCTGATAACTCTGCTAATAACAATACTAGTGTTACTGCTAGAGATGGGTTTCATGCGTGCGCATGATTGAGGAATCATATGCATTAATGTGCATTCATGTGCATGATACTGTTTCATGCGCATTTTATCCCATCAAAATTTCTCTCCTCTCGATCATTTTTGCCTTTTTTTTATCATGCGATATCATGCGCATGAAACGATTCATGTGCATTTTATTATAAAATGCGCATTTTTCTCATCTCTAGTTACTGCTGATAGCAAATGAGATGGGAGTGAAGTGTAGCATTTTTTTGACAAAGTTGTATGGAAAAAAGGACAAAAATTTGCTAAATGTAAGGTTTTGAGGTGCTCGTATGATAAATTTTTTTGTGAAGATAGAGGCTTGACCAGCACCCTATAGGGTTACTTAGAAAATGCACATTGGACCCAATATATTATGACAGAAGAATATAAGAAAAAAAAAATACGAAATGAAGGTAATAAAATTATAGAGGTATTCAAAAGAGTAAGTTACTTATTTTTTATTTTTATTTTTTACAACTTTTGGGCTAATCTAACTTGAAATCTTATCTTAGAATTCTAAAAACTCTTTCACTACAATGCTAACTGATGCTGATAATATAAAACTTCGTGATATATTCGCTGTTTGGATTATCAATCGTCAGCACCCATTTACTATAATTGAAGACCTTGAGCTAATAGAAATCATACAATATTTAAATTCTACAGCACACCTAGTCAAAGCAGATACAATAAAGAATACAATTATATCACTTTATAACTCTGAAAAAAAAGAATTGAAGGCAAGCTTCACAATTATTATATCCTTATCAGTGTTTGAAATTTATAGCTCAAATATTGTTCATATGAGAATAGTATAATTGCTATAGATGGTCTAAAAGTATTGTTTTATATTTACAAAAAAAAACCTATTAGAAAATACATAATATAGTAAGGATTAAAATTGTTTGACCGTATAAAACTGTTCTATAATTCTGACAAATATAACGTTAGTATAGGTCAAAACTAAATACTATGATTAATATGGTTAAATGGTTTACTGAATAAAAAAATTTTAGATGGTTCCAATTTATATATTATAGATGGGAATTCTCATATTTTTATTGTTCACCAAAAATGTTTAATAATGAACAATAAAAAATTTGCACTGTGCACAAATTCATAACAGTGTTTTTATAAACACTAATTTTGAATACTGATCTTTATGTATTAAATTATTTGCTTATTTTTTTCTAGTATTTTTAATTTTCTAGACCTACTTTGCCATTCTTAATTCTAAAATTTTCTTTATATTAAACCTTTGGATGTCCTCTAATAATAAGTCCTTTATTTCCATTACAGCATATTATATAGATGAAAATTGGGCTCTTAGGGAAGCTATAATTGACTTTGGTCTAATAAGCAGAAAACACAATGAGAATAATATTGCGATGGATTCTTCAAGGTTTTAAAAAATTATGAGCTTACTTCAAAGATATTTTTATCTTTTTATATAGTTAGAGACAAAATTGGGGCCAGGTGCGCTTAAATCGTAAAATTTTGATTTACCCAGATCAGCAAAAATAAAGAAAAAATGTGAAAAACGCAAAACAAATATGAGAAACAAGTGTTTAAACATATCTCAGGACACTAATAAAAAATGTCAAGAAGACAATTTTACATATAAGCATTGCCCTAACTTTAATCTCTAACAAATACATAATCATACCATGCTTTAACTATTTTCCAAAATTGGACATTTGTATATCTTGGATTGGACATCTAATTCAAATGTTCATCTTTGAATTAGATGTCCAATATATCAAATATCCAATCAAAACCGTTGAACATGACAACACTGTCTTAATTGAAATTAAATAATTTTTATTATTTGATACTTTATATAGTAATAATAATCTCTAATATTATTATATATTATTTTCTTAGATAGTTACTTGCTATCACCTTAGACAATATCACAAATAATGATATTTTTGTGCATGAATTAGCAGTTAAATTGTATGAAGAAGAATATATTGAATGGAACTCAAAACACCTCAGATTTCATTGTTTCTGCCATATTCTTAATTTGGCAGCGCAGGCTGCTTTAGATCAAATAAAGAAAGACATTTGCCTGGTTTTAATATTAGTATTAATATTTATTTGTCTTTTTTTATTATATTAATAAAAGAATTATTAAAGATTCGAGAACTTAGTTCAGCTATTCGTGCATCACCCAATATTTTGAACTTCTCAAAAATGCCTATAATGCATATTATATCAAATATTATAAACCTATCCTGGATTGCCCCACCAGGTGAAATTCTTCATATAACATGATCAAAAATAGATTGTCTCTTAACCCGTAGGTTTTATATATCTCTAATTTCATATGATTTTGTATAGTTATTAAGGAAATAGGTAAAAGGGGTAATTCAGCAGATTTAAAATTTGCTAATAGTAAAACTATTAAAAATCTTACTAACTACAAATTTTAGTTTAATATTATATTTTTTTTTTCAAAAAATTTTAATAGGAAAAAAACATGAACATTAATTATTAATTTTAATTAGAGCTAAATAATTTCAATTCTTGGAGAGTAAAGTGGTAGATTAACTAATATAAAACTAACTATTTATAGCAATAATTATTATTATTTATGATAACAAAGAATGTGTAGGGGAGTTCGCTAGAATGTGCAAGGGAGTTTTTTATAGAATAAGTGGAAAGTTTTGTTGGAATGTGTAGGTGGTGAGTTTTTTAATTTAATGATATATTGAAATTTTTGGTTAAATTCTTTTTTAATTGCAAATATTATACGAACTTTAATTATTTTTTAAAAAAAATTAAAGATGAGTATTGATAGACTTTTTTCAATCTCATCATTTCCACAACAATTGCTTGAATAAAATCTATTTTTTTTGATCATTTCAAGCCAACGCTATTCAAACAGCATAGTACAAAAAACTTCTATATGACAACCTCTTTTCTGTACCACTAACAAATATCAAAAGAAGTTAATCCTGCCCAAAAAATCGATCCCATCTACTAAAGTTGGCCAAATCAGAGAATACAAAATGCATGAGATTTTTTTAGTGGGTTAAATGATAATAATTGTTCACAGTATCATTCGTTCTGTATCAAGAAGTATTTGTACAATTATATGAAATACTTTAATCAGAATCAAAGATTTTTGCACTATTCGATTCGTCTTACCAAGACGAATCAAATAGTATAAGAATCATTAATTTAATTTGATCCACCATTTTACCCACCTCTGTCGAATTACCCCTTTATCTTTTAAATATTTTTAATAAAATAAAAATATTTAAAATTAGTATTTGATATTTTAGCATTTCTACTTATAGTAATTATTTTAAATACATATTATAAATAATTTATCTCATTGGGTTCATGTTTAATATAATAGTTTTACTAATAATTAAAGTTAGGTATTTAAAAATGCAATCTGATAACTTTCTAGGCACTTAATACTCTTACTAGCACCTACTGTAATCTTTGTCACTATGTGATTTCACATAATCAGTAAGTTACACTGGAAGAGATTACAGAATTTCTTGAACTGTTTAAAGATCTCACAGTAAAAATGTCATCTAATTCATACTGTATGGTTTTCTGAATTATTCCACTTTTTAATATTATCCTTAACCATGTCAAAGATGTAGTAGATTCGAATACAGAGATAGAAAGTAAGTTATTATATTGAGTTTTAGTTTTGGATTTATTCATGAACAAGATCAATTGTGTACATGGCAGACTATGGAACCCTTCGCAGCTGTTAGAGCCGAGCTTCAAACGGTGAGCGCCCCTACAGAAGAAAACCCATCCAAATCATCACCAACATCACTAGACTCCTATGATTTGGATATATGCTACAACAGA